AGTGTATTATTAGTATATATGTGCATAATATATCGTAACCAATACTTTAAATGGTCAGTTTTTCACTTAGGAATTCAATAGGGTGGTTTTTTAGTATGTGAATTATTTGGAAACCTTGTCATTTCCTACTATTAAGTGCTACTGCACACACACACACACACAGCAAACTGTTAATTTATCTTGTTTCTGAAAGCTTTCTTGCTTGCTTTTGTTAATAAAATAACACATTAATTAATATTGTTTCTTGTGAAATCTCAGTCTTGCTTTAGCTGGGGACAACACCTTGTTGATTGGTACAATTGATGAAATTCAGAAGCTACACATAAGGACTGTACCCTTAGGAGAATCACCGAGGTATGTGGGTAAGATAGAATGTCCACCATAGGTATTATTTGTTTTCTAGTTTTGACTATTAAAATTTGAAGTCATAGTTATTACAGTAATCTGTATTAGTGCAACGTTTATGATAATATGTATATTATCAGTCTGTGAGATGTAGTAACTGTATCTGTAAAACAATAAACAGTCTATTAATATTATTGTATGCATTTTTTTATTGAATTTGCTATTATAATGTCCTAAAGCTGTTTTGGAGCAGAAAATATTTTATGAAAGACATTTTTAAGTTAAGAATTAACATGTTTGTATGTAAAACTATTAGCTGATGAAGTGGTAAAACATATCAAAATTGAAAAGTAATTGTTAATAACTTCTAACCAAAAATAAGCTAATTCTATAGATCAGAACTAATATGTAAGTTATAAATTAATGAAGTCGTTTTTTTTTATAAAAACTGACTATAGAGTTTGTACAAGCCCTTGAAATTTGAAAGTTCAAGTTCCAGAGCTGAATAGTAGTTGAAAAATTATAATAATAATCATAACACTTAAGAAAAACTAGTGCCTACTATTTTTATAAAAATACCTTTATCCAGAAATTTTATAATATCGGCAAATATAACATTTCTGTTTTGGTCCACTGTTTTTAAATCCTAACTCTTATGAATCATCATCAACTTATTTACTTACCTCAACAACGAATAAAATGTAATTACTTTCTTAACCCTGAATATATGATAAATAATTTACACCTGAACTAACGTTTGCTGCATTAGTGATTGTATGGCTAACATATCAAGAGCTGTGTGAGAATAATGAACTGGATGAGTATGTATCTCAGTAATGATGTTACACCTAACAATGAAATGTTTATTAAAGTATAGAAATCATTCGGCTAACATCTTTGGCATTTAACTGGACATCTCTTTCAATAGTTTAACATTGGATTATTAATGATGGAAGTTGTGCATGGTGTTTTGTTTATTAACTTCATCATGATGTAGTAATAGACTGAAACATAAGCTTTAGATTTTAGAATGATGTAACTGCATTTCATGATGAAAAGACTTATGTGCCATGGAAGTTTTGGATTCTGAAGACAAGTAATATGTCTAAATAATCAGATATTTAGTAAGTGGGGTGTGGGAAAGCAACATTATTTGATTTTTCACATTAGTCAAGCTAGTAGTACATGGGTTGTGAGTTTGAGGTATTAGTGAAGGTTGATCATCATGTTATTTTGAGCTTGTGTTGCTCGTGTCACTAAGATGTAACCTTTTAGTTTTAACTGTTTTAGTTAATTAGAGTTCACTTAAGTAATACTGAACTACATTGAATAAATATGATCCAAATAAATAATCTTATATATGAAAATAACAAAGCTGATGTCAATTTTCATGGGCTGAAGATTGAGAAAAATGGTATACCACTCTGTTTATGTTACAATTTAAAGTAATACAATATCTATAGTCCAAGTGAACACTTAGGCCTAGAAAAATATACTAAATGGTCCAGATTGAAACAACAAACTTCACATATTTTTAACCTGTGTAAAAAAAATCATGTTTTTTGTTTTTCTTTATTATACCCTCAACAGTCATTAATTTGATTTTTTTTAATGTTGTAGAACCACATTTGATATATCTACATAGCATATTATGTATGTATGTATGTATGTGCTTTGCATCTGTTGATAACTAGAAAAATATTGTCGTTTCTGGTATAAAGTAAGATAATTTCACCTGATTTGTCACATATGGCTGTGGAATTAAAAATTCCCGTTTTAATTTAGTAAATGTTATCGTATTTATGTTATCCAATGACTTTGGAAAGAATGTTTAATTTCGAGTTTCATTGCTCAGTGTTCTTCATAAAATGTTTTGTTTATTAATTAAATTTAGTACTTCAATGGCAGTTTAAATTAACTGTAGCTTATTCTGACACTTCCATTTAATAATTATTAAGCAAATTTAGTAAATTCCAGTGAGAATACATGCATTTGATATATCAGACAGTAAGATTAAGATCTTAAATAATTGATGTTTTTGGATAACGAACAATAGATAATTCCATCTTGGGAGATCCTTGGATGTTTTTGATCAAGCATACAAAGTCTAACTAGAAGTAGACAGTGTTATAAATGAATATACAAATAAACCATAATCTATAGAAATTAGAATGCACTGAATCATTACTTGGATAACAATGCCGTTATGTGGCTATTTGTCTGTGAATTGAATATGTGCACAATTCCCTGTAGCTGTATCAGCTAAGTAAAAAATCGTGGACTTCTTAGATTGTCTTGATCTATGTTCTAACTATGATCTAACATTTGAAAGTGAGTTTTTAGTTCTATACATCTCATTTGAGGGTTCTGTGTTGGACAAATGCTTCCACTGTCGAAGTCTGACATGGCTTTGCTCAAGCAATCTGGACTGAAAACAAGCATTGTTTTCAAACTAAGTGTGACCTATTGACATCTAAGGTTGTACTTGAAAGAGTGTGATTTTTAAAATATGCCTTTCAAGGAAATAAAATGAGAGAAAAGGAGAAAATCTTATGTTGATAACCTTGAAAAGTTTTTGCCCTAGTAAGGAGAGCATTACTGCAAGAATAGAGATAAGGTTAGAAATGGTAAATACTGAAATTTCAAAACAAGCATTAGCCATTAATTCAGCCAAAGAAAAGGCGGCCACCCTGGTTAGATGGAAGAAACACTCTAGCAAATATATCAGCAAAAACCAGGAAGTATGAATAGATGGCTCTTTCTAAGACAAGCTACAAGAAGGATAGGCCTAGAGCCTAGTCACTCAAGACTTAGCACCAACAAAAGCTACAAGAAGGATAGGCCTAGAGCCCAGTCACTCAAGACTTAGCACCAAGAAAAGCTACAAGAAGGATAGGCCTAAAGCCCAGTCACTCAAGACTTAGCACCAAGAAAGCTACAAGAAGGATAGGCCTAA